TTAGCAGTGTGGTTCGATTAGCATTGAGGTTCTATTAGCAGCATGGTCCTGTTAGCAGTGAGGTTCTTTTAGCAGCATGGTCCTATTAGCAGTGTGGTTCTGTTAGCAGTGCAGTCCTGTTAGTACCATGGTACTGTTAGCAGTGAGGTTCTTTTAGCAGCATGGTCCTGTTAGCACCATGGTACTGTTAGCAGTGAGGTTCTTTTAGCAGCATAGTCCTATTAGCAGTGTGGTCCTGTTAGCACCATGGTACTGTTAGCAGTGTGGTTCTTTTAGCAGCATGGTCCTGTTAGCACCATGGTACTGTTAGCATTGAGGTTCTATTAGCAGCACGGTCCTGTTAGCAGTGTGATTCTGTTAGTGTTGCGGTCTTGTTAGCAGTTCCCGTTAGCAGCTTGATAATAATAACAACCGCAGCAACTGCCCTCCCAGACTGCCCTCCAGAACCGGGTCGGGCAGACAGAGAACATCCAAGGTTTTCCTGCGGAACCGATCTGTTCTGTAGAGTTCGTCCGTGCAGGCATGTGGAGGATCATGGAGACGGCCAACATGACAGGCCTGAGCCCGAGGCTGGAAGGGCTGGAATGATGTCATCGGGAGTTCCAGCCCTACATTCAAAATAGGGAATCCTCAAGCTTCACAATGGAGCCAGACTTTATATGAAGGGATTTCCTGTTACTACGGGAGCCAGCAGAGGAAAAAATGGTCTATTTAAAAGAAAACAAGCGGTACACCGATGTCCCCCATCTCTGAGGGATTTGAACAGTGAATGTTTTTAGTTTTCGTGAGGAGTGTGTTTTGAACTGGAATTAAACAGGAAATGCTGATAAATATTAATGTTTTTGATGCAAGATATTCAAGTGGGCAGGAGTTGCACTGTGGAGAAGAAGAGAGGTAGTTTACGCTTCTTTTGTTCAAGGCGGCACGGTAGAGTGGGGGCAACAATTTATTCACCACTAGGCGCAGGAGGTGGCCAATGGTGGCCATCTGTGCACAGCTACACCAGAACCCCCATCACCAAAAGTCCAACATCCCTGTGTCGCCCTCTAAGCCTTTTAGTCCTTCCACAGCTGCCTTCTGAGAAGTTCAATAATCCAGCAGAGACTCAGTAGAGCCACTGCTCCTCCACATCGAGAGGAGCCAGTTGTGGTGGTTCAGGCATCTAATAAGGATTCCCCCTGAATGCCTCCATGAGGAGGTGTTCCAGGCATGTCCACCTGGGAGGAGACCCCAGGGAAGAAAAGCTGGAGAGACTATGTCTCTTGGCTGGCCTGCCTTGGAGTCCTCCCAGAGGTGGCTGTGGAAACATGTCTGGACCTTCCTGATGGACGGACAGAAGGATTGAATGGATGGATGGATGGATGATGGGTGGATGAACAGATGGAAGAATGAATGATGGATGGACAAATGGATGGATGAATGAATGATGGATGGATGAACAGATGGATGTAAAGATGGATGGATAACAGATGAATGTAGCTCATTCTGACTCATTCTCTCAGCACAGGTCACATGTGTGTTCTGTCCACGAGTCCTGAGTTCCTCTCTGAGTAAATATTGTCCCGTGTTCCAGTGGCTTTGCTGAAACAGGCTATTTTCAGCCACATGTCGAGCAAAGAGGCCGAGGAGGAACCAGAAGAGAATAAACTGGGCCGGGCCCCTGAGAATCATCTGAACGAGGGCCCCTCTGCTGCACGCGACGAAACCCAGCCGCCTGAAAGCTCAGAGAAGGACGACCCTCGGTCTTCATCGGTCCTCACAGGAGAGTCTGAGACGACTGAGCGGAACGGTAAGGACTCTGTATCGCAGAGGTTAGAGAAGGTGATCGTGACCTGTGATCGGAAAGTCACAGATTCAACTCCCTGGACTGACGATATAAAAATGTGGGTAGAATAAGTGAAACACCCACACCTGCCTACACCCTCATTTTTTTCATTCAACCTTTATTTAGACAGGTTAGTCCCATTGAGCCCCGAGGACTCATTTACAAGAGAGACCTGATTTCAACAAAGAATGATGACAACACTCTGGCCCTTGACCCCCCATCTGCTCCCTAAACAGGTCTCTCTGGAAAATGAGTTCTCGTGGCTCAATGAGACTACCTGGATAAATAAAGGTAAATAAATAAACTCAGCTGTCATTCAGCCCTCAGAGTTCAGTCTGTATTTTTACAGAAAATTTATTTTTTGTGAGCATATTTATTTATTTATTTATTTTTTTTTTTCATCAACCAAGGGGGGTTTGTGGTTCTGGACTTTGAAGGCGGCTCTGAGGAGAGCAGCGCTGACGATGACGTCGGAGCTGATGTTCCGATTGACATGAGGAAGCTGTTGTCTTCGTCCTCGCAGGCGGGGAGCGGCCCGGATCTCAGCAGGCAGCTGATGACTCACCTGCGCCTCCTGCAGGCAGATCTGCAGTACCTGAAGGTAGACAGGAGGAATCTGTTCCGTTGAATTGAGCTATTCTGCTTGTTTTAACTGCTCACGTACAAATTAATACTTCAGCAAAGTTTAGCAGAGATTTAACGGACTTAACACTCATGTAGCAGTCTTTCAGCAGTAATTCAGCTGTCTTTCAGCAGTAATTCAGCAGTCTTTCAGCAGTCTTTCAGCAGTAATTCAGCAGTCTTTCGGCACTCATTCAGAAATCTTTCAACAGTCTAAAAGCGTCTTTCAGCAGTCATTCAGCAATCATTTAACAGACTTAGCACTCATTCAGCAATTTTTAAGCAGCCATTTTAACAATCTTTCAACAGTATTTCAGCAGTTTTTAGCAGTCTTTCAGGAGTAATTCAGCAGTCAGCAATAATTCAGCAATCATTTAACAGTCTTAGCACTCATTCAGCAATTTTTAAGCAGTCATTTTAACAATCTTTCAGCAGTCTTTCAGCACTCATTCAGCAATCTTTCTGCAGTCGTTTTAACAGTGTTTCAGCAGTAATTCAGCAGTCTTTCTTTTAACACTCATTCAGCAATCTTTTGCAGTCTTTCAGCAAACTTTTAGTAGTCTTGCAGAACTCATTCAGCAGTCTTTAAGCAGTCATATAACAGTCATTCAGGAGTAATTCAGCAGTCTTTCGTCAGTTTTCTAGCAGTATTTCAGCAGACATTTAGCTGTCTTTTAGCAGTTATGCAGCAGTCTTTAGCACCCATCGTAATATTTCTTTTTGTATTGTTTCTTACCTTCCACCATAA